TTTTTTTTTCCTTTAGGTCTATCGATTTTATCGCCTCATTTATTTTACCGATTCGAGTTTTTTCCAGTTTTGTTATAGTTAAAAGCTCTCACAAAAAATCACATCTAACTTTTTTACTATATCAGCTCGAATTGAAAACTCGAATCAGGGAACTGAACGATACCTATATTGCTTATAATTAAGGATGGTGTACTAAATATTACAATTCTTCTCATGGGATTAACAGTTCACTAGCCTTAAAATCTCGTTTCAATTTCGAACGACATTAATCCTAAATTATGTTCGAATTTTGCATCTTCTTTTCTTCAATTTTTTTTTCGCTTGTCTTAGCGTTTAAGTAATAATAATAAAAAACAGGTTCAAGCACAATAAGTTATAATAATATAATTACGTAGACAAGTAAATGTAGTTGTACTTATGGGATCAAAATTATCCCGTTCTAGATTAAACGAATAATAATTAAGGGTGATGTGTCACGTGAATCGTTCCCGAATCTACGCAGTAGATGCCTCTCCAGCAGATTTAATCAACATTCTTAGAGAGAGAAATAATCATTGGTTTCTTTGAATGGATCAATCTTAAAGCTTGTGTCCAAAGTAACCCTAATTATTCCACCTGTCTTGCTTACATTAATTGTTTTCTTTGTATTAAACTATTAATTACAACTCAGCTAGCCGTGCATTGGTATCAACACAAAAAATACATAATCTATTCTATAGCGTCCTTTGTTTATCTTGAATAACCGTGACTTTTTTTTCATTTCCCTTAATTAATTAGCATTTCTAAACCTATTATTATACACTAATTAGCGACTTGAGGTTTTGCTCAGGTGGATGCGTGAGTGTGAGTATGTCAATTAATGTTCAAATTTGGATGGTTTTATTTTTTGAGTAAAGTGAGAGTTATACATATTGTATTAAAAAAAAAATTTATCACTAATTAAAAAATCATTATTTTTAGGTTGAAATCTAAAAATAAGCCTAAAACATCGTGTGATTTAGCTAGTTTTGTTTTTATGTATATTATTTCATGTATCCTATCTTTATTTTATTTCTTTTCAATAATTAGTTTGAAAGACGTTCTTCAATGATTTAGTATGATTAGTCTTAGAATGTGTAGCCAAACTAGATATGATTATCTTTATCTATTATTTAATTAGTGATGGGACTAAAAGTTAAACACATATGTAGCCTCTTTTTAAAGGAATTCTTACGAACATGTATATATATGTAACATTTTTTGTTTATCAAATGTAGAGAACTATTAATTTAAGAGAGTTAAGTCTAATTTATACACATACTTATTATATTAAAATTAAAACCATTATACTAAAAGAAATGCTGGGGCATGCCTCCTGTCTCCATCATTGTATGTAAGGATGTATTAATATACATATTAAAAAAAAGTATATATATGGTTGGAATAATCTAAATTAGGTCTATAAATCTTTTCTTGTTAAATGTGCTCGAATGTATGTCTATGAGTTTAGATCTGCTGTCTCTATTTTTCTGTTTTAATGGCTATTCCTTCACTATTTATTTTTCATGTTATCTAAATTTAAGAATCTAACAACATAAATCGGAACAAATACTAACAAAAGTCTCAAAATTTAATTGAAGAGAAAGCTATCGAGATAAAAAAAAGGGACAACGGATCTTGATTCGTGTGTATGTATGTGTACATTTGTGTATCCCATTATCTCCTTTTTCCAAAGAAAATTAAGTTTTCATCCATATTACTAGTTCTTAGCTAGCTAGCTAGCTAGCTAGCGCTCTATGGCAAATTAAAATTTTCCATTTGATGTAAAGTCCATGTCGTGAGATCCTTACATGCGCATTATCACATGAAGTATAGTGATTCGGGATTTATGGAAATTTTTTTAGCATAGAAGTAAGGTTTGCATTATTATTTTGGATTTTAAAGAAGTAAATACTTAGAAGGCAATGAAGAGATCAGAAAATGCATTATTTAGAGAGAGAAATTTTGGTGATTAAAGAAAGGGGAAGGACAAATTACAGGCGGCTTATATACACACATTTGGGCATGCATATATATATATTGTAACGGTCATTAAGTGGGTGAGAAAAAAATAAATAAATTGTTTCATTATATCCCATTTGCAACCCCAAAAAAACCCACAAAAACAAAGAAGGAAAGAAAGGAAAAGTTTACTTTCCATTCAAAGCAAAGCGTCAGTTGGATTTTCATACTTGCGGGAAACTTAACAGCCCTTTTTCTGGCCTTTCCTTGTTTTGTTTACACTTTACACTTCAAAAAAAGAATAAAACACGTGCCTTTTTGTTTCTGTTAACTCTCCTTTCCTTTTTTTTTTTTTTTTTTTCTGTTTTCTTATACATTTTAATGGACGTTTCTAAAATGAAAATACGATAATGAACAAAAATAGCTAGTAATTAATGATAAATTAAGGGAATATATAATTTTGATGCATACGATAATCTTCTCCATATATATTGAAGATTTTTGGCTGGCCACGAATGAA